CATTCTGCTTCAGTTTTAACATGTGTTCGAAAAAAAGATTTATTTTAACATTGAAGAAACATTGACCTTTATGTGAAGATTCCTAACCTGGTGAGTCCAAGGTCCTTCATGGCCTTCCTCTTGGCCTTGGGTGACATATAGATGTCATTGTCGGCCTCCATCTGATTCGTCAGGTCCCTGGCCAGCCTCAGCTCGGCGTCAATGTCGAGGCGTGTCCCATCTCTAAGCGTCTCACCATCCCTGAACGGCCTCTCTGGCACCAGCCCCTGCTTCTCGCCGGCGACGTAGGCTGTGGAGACATGCAGGAGCACATCGAGGTTGGGGCACTTCCCGGCAAAGTCACACATGTGCTTCACCCCCATCACATTCACGTCCAGGGCCTCGTTGTACCTTAGCGCACGCATGCACAAGTACATTCCACTGTTTCAGATACCAGAAATGTTGCTGCACATATGCGTTTATGTTCTGTAGATGATACCTTTCGTAGAAGTTGGTGGTGGCGGCGCTATTGATGATAACGTTGAGCTCGTCGGTGAGCCGGAGCTCATGCAGTGTCTCGGCCTCGACACCAAAGCCCTCGCGTGTAACATCACCGGCCAGTGCCACCACTTTCTCCGCGACGAAGGCATCGAACCCCGAGCCATGCTGCTGCCGCAGCATCCCGAACAGCTCCTTGCCCACCACCTCCATGCAGACTTCCACGTTAACTAACCCCATCATATCATATCATGTTTGACTAACACGATAAAGTTTGTAGTACAATTGATTTATGCCACATATCTCTTGTTTGCTTTTGTTTGCTGGCAGAAATACAATATTCCAGAGTACTGGCAAGATTGTTTTGTTCCTCACAAAGAAAATGCTGCAGCAGGACTACCCCACGTCGTATCTCGGCAAGTTTTGGTAAAAAAAATATAACGTGCTTCTAAATTGGTTCTGCACACTATTAGACACTGCTAGCAGCAGCATGAATGAGTAGCTTGGTGCTGGGAAATGACGGGAGCATCATCTCATCTGGTATTATTACTATAAAAGTTTATCAACTTGAGAAATAATAGTCCTGGGTTTCACATTCATACATTTGGAAATGAAAAGCAAGAAAATGTTGGTGCGCCTAAAGCAAGGCATAAGTTGGCCCCTACGTGCCTCTGAAGCCCAAACATACCACAAGAATTTTGGTGTAGTATTACCAAATAGAGGGCACTAGGTGGCACAAACGGCTTGATTTACTGCAGGACTCATCCTCTGAAAGGCTAGAAGTCACTTCTTACTTTCTATAGCTATGCAACCATACCATATAAGAAATGCAAGTCATGCATTTAAGTCATACGTTATAACTTGTTGCATTTAGCGCTCCCAGATCATCAATTCATGCATGCTAGTTAGAAGTTATTTTTTTCATTATATTTTGTATTGTTATGCACAATATATGTGTGAGCAATTGCATCATACTTATGTAGATCACCCTTGACATTTTTGTTAGAAATAATATCTTATATATATTTACTAATTGGAGGCACCATACTAGGCACCACGTTAATTCTTATAATTAAGTATTTTTGACCGTTTGATTAATATATAATGTATCCATAGCCGTCCGATGAAATATAAGACATGATGTGTCATACTACCACATATGGGAGTCTTACTCCATACTCCATTGGGACTCTCTCAGTTTCCTACAAAAAAAGGAAATCTACCATGTATGGTTGCCTTCCTCCCTTAGGTCTCTCTTGGTTTCCTAGAAAAAGCGAAATCTTACTTAAAAAACCTCAGAAACCAGAAATTTTATTATGTGAAATCTCTTAAGGGTGACATATATAAGTTGAAAATGTACATTAATTTTCATGCACCAAAAAATCATGAACCTATTTATTTTTATTTTAATGGTGAAGATCAGTTAGGAAGCCATGCATATAAATCTTAAATGGAAAAAATAACACTTACCAACAGTATAAGAAAATATGAAACCCACATGCACGAAAAATAGCCATGGATGCCCATGTTCAAGTCCCGACCAAAAAAAAATCCATTTGTCTTCTCCATTCATAAAGAAAAAAGAAGATACATTATCACAAAAATATACACATAAATGAAACTTCCTTAGGCCCCACGCTAGAAAAAGAGTCCATGTCCCAAATATCACCCAAAGTAAAAAATCATAGTGTGTATTTCCTTGAGAAAAAAAAACTAAAGTCACGTACAAATAAATGCTCCCCAAAGCCATACGCTTAGAAAATAAAATCTATAGCTGAATGTTTCTTAGCCACATGCATGTTCCCATGAGAAAAATGAAATAAAAAAGATAAGTACAAATCAATGCTCCTCAAAGCATTACGTTTAGAAAAAGATAGTCTATTCATGAATAATTTTTCATTCCTTTCGTAAGAAAAGAAATATGACCAAGATAAAATAGATTAAAAATGAAAAAATATCCCTCCCTAAAATCTTCAAAATTGTAGTTGAGTTATAATTTTTGTAAGCTTTGACTTGGTATATGTACCAATTACAAGAAGCAGGCTCCTCGGTAGCTCATCAGGTTAAGAGATCATATAAAATTTTTTGGAAAAATGATGAAATTATATGTTGATGATAAACCTTCATACTTATACAGTCTAGGTTAAAATGAACTAATGATTGATAACTGCGATATTAATGTAGTCATTGGCTCATAAATTCTCAATTTTATCGTCACACTAAAGACTAAAGGGGCCAGCATGACCATGTTTAGAGAGGAATATATTCATTTGATCTCCTTAGAGGAAAGGGCATATTAGCATGATAATAACCACATTCTTATTATTCAAAATTGCCAGCAATGGCTTAGCTCAAGAGTATACATCTTATGTGTACATAATGATGATTCTTATGATTGATATTCTTTAATTAACAAACTAAACTTGGTTATTAATTTTAATTTATATTTAGTCTAAGATTAGAAATATTTTCCATTGGAAATTAGGAACGACAGTTGGCATTTTAGTTATCATGACATGCATACTTTTCTCCGGTTACGTTTCACCACTGAAAAAGTGTTGAAAGCAATCATTTCTCGAGGCTATTTGCTTAAATTTTGTTTTTCCACATCTGCACATCCATATTTCCAGAAAATAATAAATAATGCGATGAGTATTAAAAGAGCATGTTACGAAAATGGCATACCCTTGATGTTGACCCAAGGGTGGACATTACTTCTATTATTTTGAGACAAGAAAAGTTCAACTAATAGAAATATATAAGGATGTCTCTATACTTCTTTGATCTATTATATTTCACATGATGTGTTTGACCAACAAGTATATCTATCTAAAAAAGTTGATATTATTTTTCACAACTCAGGGGTACTGGAATTTACATATATGTCGACTCTCTTATTCAAAAAAGGTTTTTTCTCTTGTTAGATGTTTCACATAGTTTTATTGATTTTAGGGTTACATGTGCTTTCAATTATACTTAGTAATGTTTTGCAGGAGGTCCGTTTTGGCTCTGGGTTGCATATGCTCCTGGATGAACAGTAAACTCAAAATAAATACTCCCTCCGTTCCAAAATATAGTGCTTCCTCTATTCCCGTGCTTCAAATTTGACCATAAATTTAACCAACAAGACCGACTGCGGCGGGAGCAAAAGTTATACCAGTGAATTCGTGTTCAAAAGAAGTTTTCAATTATATAATTTTTTCTCCCGCCACAACCGGTCTTGTTGGTTAAATTTATGGTCAAATTGGACCTCAGGAAGCGCAGGCGCACTATATTTTGGAATAGAGGGATTAGTAAATAAAACAAATTCTAATGTTTTTGTAGATGTTCATGTCAGTGTAACAATCGTATTTAACAATTTTCATGGGAAACGGAATGGCACTGCTTCATCGGTGAAAAAAACAAAAATAAGTGCACATTGGGAGGAAACATTTGTAGTTCGACTTGTTTATTTGCACATGTCAAAATTCTTAAGCTTTTCCCCTAAAAGTTTGCAGGTGGAACTTTGGTGTGACAATGAAGACATCTTTTTTTTTTGCACAAGTCAAGAGCCTAATTCGTTTTCCGATCCTTTGCCTGCTATGTATACCTTTCTTTTAAGAAGGTTCTGGCAGCGACGTGCCGAAAGTCATCTTGGAATTATAGCTTATGGTAACAACACACCAGGTAAAAACACCATGTGTGTGTATTTTGAACCGAAATGATATAAAGGACTATTTTCTGTACTCCCGGGTGTATGTACTCCCATCTTCAATGTACCTTCTGTACGCATTAATTATACTTCTTTGTCATCTTAATATACTTCATTAAATATTCTAAGATACCCCAATACGAGTTTTGTTGAAAAAATATCATTTGCCATGTACTTTTTGTAATATACCTTTTTCACGTACTAACAATCAGTATATACCTGAACCTTTCGAAAAATGTAGACACACTTGATTTTTTTCATGAAACTCATTCGGGGGTATCTAGTAATTATTAATAAAGTATATTAAAAATAATAAAGATCTATAAAAGATTAATCTATGTGATATATGAGGAGCATGAGTACGTATTCCCAGGAGTATGTAACCATTTTGGTTGTGTGCATCCTCAATGTCTAGTTGGATATTTTGTTGGTGCAATGGTTGGGTGTAGTTGGTTTCTTCACTAATATTCCTTTTGTCATATATAACACATGCGATTACTGTGGCGGGGAATTTTTTTTCATTTTTTTCTCTTTTTGGCTGTGTGCATCCTCAATGTCTAGTTGGACATTTTGTTGGTGCAGGGGCTGGGTGTAATTGGTATATTCGCTAATATTCCCTTTGTCAAAAAAATAACACATGAGATTAATTTGGTCCACATATATGTAGTTCAACATTAGCGTCTGCAAAATAAGTGGACGGCACTTGTCTGGTTTATTGTTCTGCCTATCCATGCAAGTTCAGACTGGCACGCCAAAATATGCTATTACATATATGGGCATTTAACTATCTAGAAACTAATGAGAGTTGTACAGTTCAGATAATCCATTTCCGCCTCTAATGCAGGAACCCGAACTCCACCATGACATGTCAGTGATCTGGATGTTCAGCAGTAATGCCACCAATCAGTTTGCACTACTGCTCTGCCTTATTTTGCACCACATATGAAATACTGGTTTATATACCTTAATATTATGAGATGTAACAAGTACACCAATGTTTGTCAGAATATACCGGTTTGCCTTTCCTTTTATTGAAAATAAAAATTTTAATACCCAATTTTGGCTACGTGTGAAGAAAAACTAGAAACGAAATCATGGTTGAGCGTTTCTTTTATTCAATCTGACGCATGTATTCTTGTATTATACTAATCTCATAGTTTTAAATAGCAGACTATGCCTTTTAGCGGTGGACCTCTTTTAAATAATATAGGGTGGTATTGTAGTGCTATATAGCGCGTTGGTTAAAATGTTTGTTAATCTGCTTGGACCAAAGTCACTTGGTGAACGACCTCTTCTGTAGCGCGCTATTTAAAACAATGACTAATTTAGAGTGGAAAAAACACAAGTATATATGAAACAGACACATGCAGAAAAAAAACAGTGGGAGCATCTTGGGGTTTTCTTTGTCTTAAAACAACTTCCATGATTTCCATGCAGCATGACCTCACTAATTACTCCCTCCGTTCCTAAATATTTGTCTTTCTAGACATTTCAAATGACTACTACATACGGATGTATGTAGACATATTTTAGAGTGTAGACTCACTCATTTTGCTTCATATATAGTCACTTGTTAAAATGCCTAGAAAGACAAGTATTTAAGAACGGAGGGAGTAGTTGAGAACCCTGGTGCTGGCGCTGGTGTGCATGCTCTAATAGTACTCGATAGGAAAGGGATTATGACAAAAAGAACAGAAGTGAATGAGAGACTGGTGTAAGGGCCAGATGAGAACGGTGGTGGTGAAAGAGGAATCCAAGATAGCCACGCACCTCGGTCTCTACCCGCTGCCTTGCCGCCGCTGCATCCGCCGCCCGCACCAGCAGGTAGATCCTCTTCACGTCCGGCTGGACCCTCAGTATCTTCTCCACTAGCACTGCATCCCACCGGAAGAAGAAGTATCAGATGAGAAAAATACACTGCCTAGTTATGGATGGATGCACGATCTGTTCTTCAGAAATTAACAAGACATGTTAATATAATACAAGAATGACCGTGGCTCTTCAGAAATTATCAAGACATGTTAATATAGGACAAAAATTAATGACGGTGGCTCCCGTGAAAATCATCATATTTATATATATGTTTGTCATCATATTTACTCTTGCCAAGAAAGCCGGTGGCTTCTGTGGATTTCATCATATTTATATATACGTTTGTCATCATATTACTCTTGCCAAGAAAGCCCGTGGCTCCCGTGGATATCATCATATTTATATATATGTTTGTCATCATATTTACTCTTGCCAAGAAAGCCCGTGGCTCCCGTGAATATCATCACATTTATATAATATATATGTTTGTCATTATATTTACTCTTGCCAAGAAAGCCCGTGGCTCCCGTGATAAGCATGCTCTTGTTCTTGAAGTACTCGGTGATCTCTGCTTCGTTCAGTGTGCCAGCCATCTTGCTTTAATTTTGTGGACGAGAGGATATGAAGGAAGAATGGAAGGAAGATATATGCTTGGTGTGAGTGCTTCATCCTCCTGCACCCTATATTTATAGGCATGCAGGGCCGGCCAACATGGTGTTCAAGGTGGCAAAGTATCTGAGCCGTACACAGAAGCTACCTATTAAGTGCACGTAATTAGCAACGGCAATCGGCTTGTGCTTCCCAACCACAACCTGCTTTCCAGTTAAAAATGGGAGCCATGGTCAAGTAAATAAGCAGTAAAGTAGCAACACTGTTGTTTAAAGATACATTTTGAGTCAATAAAAAAAGCACCCTTTTTCAAAAAAGAAAAAAAACACTTTTGATTACAGATCCAGCAACACAGCTTATGGGATCTGCTACACGCCGGACGACCGGTCAGCGGTTTCGAGCCGGTGGCCTTCCGGGCCGTACGATCACACTTTTGTCAACCGTCAAGATCTCATCCTCGTAATTGAAGTGTTCTATTAAATTCGTGCTCAAGCCAACTCATCCAAAAGTCTGAATAGATGGAGGGAGGTGGGCAACTTTAGACGTGGGATCGATGAAGGCCGCAGAATCGTCTATTTTAGTCCCTAGACGTGGGATTGATATAGGTCGCAAAATCGTTTTATTTAATACTACATTGGCAGGGTCTTGAACTCAAGATCTCCTGACTCGGATACCATATTGAATTCATGCTCCAGCCAACTAAACCAAAAGTCCGACTGATCGAGGGAGGCGGACGATATATTTCAACATGCTCTTCTGTTGAGACTGTATTTTCACTAATCCCGCATCCAGGCTTCCCCACCAGCAAAAACCACGTCGAGCATGTGTCGCGCAGAATTGCATTACTTGTAGTAGGGTTGTCCCCATCCCTCTTTCCTTCCCCAGCCGTGGTGGCCATGGCCGCTGCAAAAAAACGAGGATGAAGCCGGTCGCACCTCTGCCTAGTTCCAACACGAGCTATTGATGTTGCACCTCCTCATCAGCCCGGAGCACAAGCTCATTACCGTCAACCTCGCTGACCTGCCGCAGCAACCGTTGGGATCACCCCGGCCATTATCGGACATTTTAGCGTACTCCTGTGCATGTGGTTGCAACTTCTTGTGCCGGCGGTCCAAGGATATACGCCCGTTGAAGTGTTGGTCTTTGTCGGCTTCCAGCATCGCCAAGTGCTGATTCTAGCATCTCCACGCGACATTTAAGCATTTTGGGACACTGGTTCCAGCATTCGCTGGGCGCCAGCTCCAACACATCGCATACCTCCTCCAGCATGCTAAACATGAGGTCACAGCTTCTGGTGCAGGTTGTCACAGCTCTTTGCACCAACGGTTCCAGCATGTCACGCGCCAGTAGCAGCTCTGCTGCTTGTAGCCCACCAGTGGTGTAATCACGACATTGTCGTGCCCCACCATCTCTGTCACAGCCGTGCGGGTGGTTGCAGCTTTGCCACTCACCAGATGCACGCGGTAGTCGGGTGCAATTCCCGTCCTGGTAGTCGATGCAACCCATCCCAACATCCCTAGTTGCCGATCAAAGCTTAGTCATAGCACAGTCGCAACATCGCCGGGCGCAGCCTCTACATTCCCATCTGTCCGGCGTTGTCACAGCTGGCAAACGCCGTGGTTGCATCTTGCGGTCGTCGTCGTTGTAGCACCTGGTGCCTGTTGTAGCAAATTTCCTCACCACCCTACAGTAACATGTCTGTCGACTCCCCTCACCAAGGCATATTACATTTTTGTTGCCACAACGTCACATTTCAGCCTCCATGTGAATAATTTGTTTATCCAGAATCCATAAATGAATATGCCATGATTAGTCTCATGAAGTTATGTGTGTCCATCTTAGTGAGGGAGAGCATTCCCAAATATTGTCCCATGTGTCGGTGGGATGGATGTTGAGGTACCTAAAACATACATGCACGGGGCATCTCAACCATCGCAAGCATCATCTGGTGTAGGGCACTCGTCTCGAATGTAGTACCTTTGAAGCATGCATGAAGTAGTTCTAGGTTTCGGGGGTCGTCGTTGAACTGGGTGGTTGTCCACAGCAGTCTTTGACGACGGGGTGCTTGGTGGTTTCAGCGGTAGTCATTGTGGATCGATGGTGTTCAGTGGATGATTCCTGTTTTAGACTTTGTAGGGGATTTGATCCAGTTAGAATTATTTGGAGGGGACGAGGGGGGGGGGGGCTATAATTTTCTCTAATTGAAATTCAATGCTTATTGTTTGATGGCAATACATATTAATGGTCGAATCTTTCTGATTAATTGGGATTGTTAGCTCACCTCTCTTTTTTCTTCCTATTGTGCTTAAAGTATATCTGTTTTAGATGATTGAACAGGTACCATGGGTAATTTCAGGTAACCCCTGCTGATTTAAATTCAACGACATCCCAACTGCATGCAGTGCTGGTATTATTCCGTTAATTTCACAGGCCACGTTCGGAAGCTCTCTCTAGCTTCCCAAACGAGCCAGCTTCTCATGGAGCTAGCTCCTGCTAGCTTCTAATGGAGCCAGGAAACATTCGGCACCCTAGCATGTACTGAAGCTTCAGCTGTTGTACCAATGAACTGAAGAAAAACATGGACACATCTGTACATTTTCAGACCAACAATAGCCAAATCAGAATTGTACAGAAGGGGGAGGAGGTGTGCTCACCTTGAGCTTGATGGAGCAGTGGTCCGGCTACAGGCGTGGATCTTGCAAGAGGTTGGACAGAGCAGATTTTCGGCTGCCGGCGGCGACCAGCAGACTTAATGGTGGGAGATGCAGGAGATGGCCCTGCGGCAGCTTTAGGCAGCAACTGCAAGCGGCGGTGGATGGCGACCCGAGGCGGAAGACCAGCGGTGGTGCAGTGGTGCATCAGCGCACTTGCGGTGCAGCTAGGATTGCTAGAGGGCAACCACGGGTTGGTCTGACGGCGGAGCTAGCTCTCAGGAGTCAGGCTGGGCTCTAGCGAGAGAATATGCTTCATGTGTGGCACTTCAGAAGAGTATTCTGGTGTAATTTCTAGCAACTCCCACTTCTTGTTTTGGCGAAGCTGCGATTCTGCTACTCCAAAAAATTGCACGTTCTCCTGAAGCTGGCTTCTCAGAGATACAAAGTTCACGGTGGCTGCACTTGGCTCATTCGGGAAGCTGGCTCGTGGAGAGCTTGAGAATGGGGCCCTAGTGTGAAGAAAGAATGATGTTTGCCAAGAAAAAATGAAGAAAGAATGATGAACATAAAACCGAAAGCTGTACAGCCGTCACCTCCCCAAAAATTCTAGGGTTCCTCTGCCTCGCATCATCGCCGCCGCCGGTCCGTCTCACCTCCGGTCGCACTAGGGCCATGGCGACGCGTTGAATCCCTGACCTTGCCGGCGGGAAGGCTCTGTTTTCGGATGCTCCTTCGAGTTTTGTTAGGATTCGTGTCCTGTTCAGGAAGACGAAACGATGATAGCTCCCTGACTATGGAATAAGGTTGTCCCCGCCTAGCCCCCATCCCCATGGTGGATTTACCATTGTCGGTGGGTGTGTGGAGGTGTCTCCGGTAGGTCTGTCCTTACTGGATTTGTTCGGATCTAACATTGTTCTTCTATGTTCTTGTGTTTTCAGGTTGAATTCTTCCGATTTACGCTACTCTTCAATGGTGGCGGATGCTTTTCCGGTGCAATGGTCCTATGGGGATTTAGCACGATCAGGGGCGGAGCTGGAGCAAATGTTACCCGATGCACCACTTCGACCAGGCATAAATTTTTCAGGCAACGGTGTATTGGATATAGTTGTGTTCCATAGCTTCTAGCACACATATTATTGGATATAACAAAAGACAATTTGTGAAAACAAAATGCAGCCATCAAAATTCTTAATGTAATGATAAAACAGGGGACAAAATTACTTGAAAAGGATGCTTTGCAATTCCAAATTCCAAAATACATCGTTGCACAACAAGGTTCAGTAACCTACAACATACAAATAGAATTAAACTTACAAGTACAATATATTATCTTCTCACTAGATCTTTCAAATTAGGATGAAAATGTTCTATTAATTTTCTCTTGCCAGGATCATATTGAAACTCCTCTTCCCAATTTATGTCTTTTGGAACATCTTGTGATAGTACCTTTCTTTTGAGAAAAACTTGTCCATAGTATCTCTATTTGACAAATACAAATTAGAAATGAGACATGAATACCTATATAGACAAATGGAATATACTCTTAATTAGAAGTTATAACCCTAGGAAATGCCCTCATGCTTTGTCAAAACATAGTGATTTATTCTATTTGCTACAAATTTATATATAATTGTTGCAGTTTGTAAACAAAATAGGAAAAGCAAGAAAAGACTAGCCGCAAGTGTGGTCTGTTGTAAAACTTGTAATCTATGGACGCATGGAAGACAGAGCGGAAGACTCAAGATTGGAATTTGAAAAGATTGCCGAATTACCGAGAGCCGGACCGGCGGACCGACGTGCGGCGTGGACTCGCCGGTGAAGACTCGGGCTGCGTGGCCGGTGGCCTACGGCGTCCATCGCCCTGCCGCAGTCCCCCTACCACTTGGGTACGCGACGGCGAGCGGACGAGGCGTATGGTATGGAGGCTGGCTCCGTACGGTACGCGTGTACACAAACCTAATCTAGTTTTTCTTAGGTGGAAGTTTGATCGATGGATTTAGGTTAGGGCACTGCCCCTGTGTCGCGTGCGTGGATCGATTAAGGATATGGGCCAGTGTGGGCTGCCGAGGCGTGCTGGAAAGAACAGACC